AAAGGTCAACTTATTGGACTAAGATACATGTAGCTATGTCACAATTGAAAGTCAAGGTCAATAAAGCAAATAGGTCAACTTATTGGACTAAGATACATGTAGCTATGTCACAATTGAAAGTCAAGGTCAATAAAGCAAAAGGTCAACTTGTTGTACTAAGATACATGTAACAATGTCACAATAGAAAGTCAAGGTCAAAAAAGCAACTAGGTCAACTTATTGGACTAAGATACATGTAACAATATCAGAATTGAAATTCAAGGTCAATAAAGCAAATAGGTCAACTTGTTGATCTAAGATACATGTAACAATGTCACAATTGAAAGTCAAGGTCAATAAAGCAAATAGGTCAACTTATTGGACTAAGATACATGTAGCTATGTCACAATTGAAAGTCAAGGTCAATAAAGCAAATAGGTCAATTTGTTGGACTAAGATACATGTAACAATGTCAACTGAAAGTCAAGGTCAATAAAGCAAAAGGTCAAGGTGTTTACTTAGATATCTAATTAAGTCCTAATTCAATGTCAAGGTCAATGAGATAACTAAGTCAGAATTGAATGTCAAGATTATTTTTTTTTATTAATTGAAACCTTTGTCTTACCTTAAAAAGTCATGGAGAAAAGTTTTCACTTAGAGTTGAATCCATATTTACATCAATTTAAACCTAGTTATATATTTGTGCATATTTTAACCTGAATACAAAAAACATCAAGTTTAAAATACTAATATACAGTAATTTTTTATAATCTTACATGTAATGAAATGTTTTCATAAAACACTAATTTATAAGCACCTTTGAGTGAAGCAAGATCTTATGTTGTAGAGAAAATGATTTATAGCTGCAGCAAGATATTTTTTAAGATTTGAGAATGCACATTTTTGTATAATTTATTACTGAATGCAAAGCATTTCAATGGTACTTATGGCTTTAAATAAAATGATTGAATACTTTTGAATTTACAGTGACATTACAGTTATTATAAAGATAAAAAAGATATGACAGCCACTTTCCCTAAACTGGTGTGGGTTGTTCTTCACATTAAGGCGGGGCTGTGGGGGGGGGAGCAGATTAAGGCCTGTCATCTTAAGAGGCCAAATAGCAAGCTTGTTATAGGACGATAGTTCTATTGTCAAGGTTCTGTACATATATAGCTACAATAGGGCAGGAAAGGCTTGTGCTGTTTCAAAATTCAAAGCAGGGCAATGTCATTTTTTCTTAATAAAGCAGGGCAAGTTCAGTTTACTATTAAAGTAAAGCAAAGGCTACATAACTAATAAAATTAGGGCAATGTCATTTTAATAAATCAGGGCAAAGGTCAGTTTACTATTAAAATAGAGTAATGTTATAGTTCTAATAAAACATTAAACTTTAAAAGCAGGCCAGTGTATTTTTACTAATAAATCAGGGCAAAGGTCAGTTTACTAACAAAGCAGGGCAAATGTCATTTTACTAATAAACATAATAAAGGTCATTTTACTAAAAAAAAGTACTGTAAGTTCATTTTACTTATAAAACAGGGCTAATGTTGTTTTTCTTTTACTAATATAGCAGGGTAATGGTCATTTTACTTATAGAGCAGGGAAAGTTCACTTTTGTCAAAGCAGGGCAAACAAAGGTCAGTTTTCTGATAAAGCAGGGCATATGCCATTTTACTTATCAAGAGCAGGGTTAAATCATTTTAGCAGTAAGCAGGGAAATGAGGAAAAGAGAGTATCATTGTAACTAGGTACAACAATAATACTGTCAGCATGCCATATTTCAATCAAATAAGTGCATATACCAGTGACAATGCTTGTCAAATTTATGCCAGCCTTTGATGGCCTTAATACCTCAATGTTTTTACTGGATATTTGAACTTGAAGACAGTAATTTTTGGAATTTTTTTAATACTTTTGATCATCCTCTAACAAGCCAAAAAATTGGTAACATATGAGTACAGTATATCATTATTTTGAACATTTCAATTTAAAAAGAACTTGGAATATTTTAGCAGCATAATTTGGGAATAATTAATTTCAACTAAGTTTATTAGGTACATATTCAAAATATGTGATTTCTTTGTGTATCACAATGTCCAACCCTGTCTATCATGCTATACTATTTCCCTTTTAATTATATTTTTTTTAATTCATAATTTCATGAATTGTTTATACCTAAAGTTTGCACCTGACACTTCTATAATAATTTATATTAAAGGCCTACAAACAGATGGGTTTACCATATATGTATGAGTACCTTTATGACAGGTTTATTTGACTCTGTTTATGATCAACAGAATGCTTGAAAGATGTAATGAATTGCCGGGCTAAAGTTATCTTTAAGTCGTGTGCCATCTTTTGTTTGGTACCACCTTTGTTCATCTCTGTGCTAATTACCTAAGATTACCATCAGTAACTTTGCAAAGACTTTCCTCACCTTTAATCAAAGACGTATCAGCATGAAATCTTGCGTTTTAACCTTAGAAATGAATGTTTTTCAAGCTTTTAGTTACAAAGTTACACCTAATCTGCTCATTTTGATCCTGTCAGAGATTAATCAAAACATGTGTTAGTTAAGATATCTATTTGGTAAGAAAACAGTAGCACCATTGTCCATATTTGTTACTGTTCAAATAAATAGGGGTTACAATAATCATATTGTGAATTAACAAGTGTTTTCTAAACTATAACTGATATTGCACTGTTTTAACATCTGTTCCAGCTTGTGTGTTTGATTTGAACTAATAATCATGCTGATTTTTAAGTGATTTGATGTTAAAACTGTGGTTTACATGCTGTTAATGTTAAATACTAAATATCAAAAAGCTCTCTGTATTAAATCAAATATCATAGAATTACATGCTTCATAACTGTCTACTGTCATATAGTGAATTAAGAATAATCCACAAAAATATGCTATTTCAAGTCATTGAATAATATTAGCACAGAATAATTTGAGATTTATTATCTTATTAAGAAACAATATAGTATTAGATTTCTAATGATAAAGATTTTTCAAACTATTTCTAGCTATAAAGAAACATTTTTTCTTATGGCAATCAAACTTTTTGCAACACATTTTATGTACATGGAAAACTGATTAAAGATTTTACATTAATAGAAAACCAAATGAAAATTAAAAGTTCAAGTAATTGTTTAATTCTTACACCTTTTTTATACAATAACATTATAGCAGGCTGAGAGAACAGCTTGTAGATGCCATTGGTGACAGGTGTCCATATTTATGTCATTAGGATAAGAAATTCATCCATTTATTTTTTTTTATTTATTTTTTTGCAAATGGCAATATTTTGACAAAGGGAGACAATAATTATTGTGAGAATTATATTTTTTTACAAATGGTGTTATTTAGACAAGGGAGGCTATTCAGGATACTGATTTAGTTTAAAAATGTGTGTGTGTTTGCTTTCATCTCAGAAGTTGTTTTCTTTATGTACATAAATCATTTTAATAATATCATAAAACTTTTTTTGCAATGATTTTTACAATATCTGTTATAGACATAATTATGTTGCAAATGGCAATTTGTCAAATGTTAGTAAAACATTGCAGGTAATGTTTTTATTTATGAATTTTATAAATATTGTCAAGTAAGACTTGAAAATTAAGTATTCTTTATTATATTTAAGGACCTTTTAAATGCAGTCATATTTGTTTTATTTTAAATGAGGATAGCTTGTATAAATATTGTTTTGTTAATGATGAAAAACACTGAAAGATAAACAAAAATATCATTTTGACATGTACTACATCATGTTGAAGGGTTTTATTTTTGTTATTTATAGATGTTTATTTGTCTAGTTAACAAAATTTCTTGGTATTAATATAAAACATATACATTTTTACAAATTTGATATTAAAACTACTGTTATTTTACTCTAATTTAGTAACTTTTACTTGTAATCTTATTGTTTGTAGCTTTTTAAGATGGCAATTATCCATGTTATAGGCTTTTCAATGGGCCAAATCATTTAGGCAAGAAAAAGGAATGTCCTAAATTGAGAACTTTAGCCAAAAACTGATTTTATGGATGCAGAGTGCGAGGTGGCAATTTTAATTTCTTTTATTTCCAATGTCCACTAAATAGGTTTATTTTTATGTTGTACACTTATCTACCTTTTGAGTGATCATTGGTCAAAACTATAAAAACCATAAAACTGTTACTTGGTCCAAATCAATGACTATTGACAATATGAATTTCTCCTGAGGGGAAAAAGACATTGACCTTTTAATGTAAAATATGATGTTCAATGGCAATTAATAGAACAAGAATAAATGTTGAAACAAACAAAGCAAATTTTGAGACCTTAAATCACCAAACTCCACCAGTCTGTGCATCTTTGCAGTCTAAGTAGACTATTGTTAGGTGCTCAGTTTTAATATTTTATATAAAGTAACAATGTGCAATTCTAAATGAAAGGCTGGACATAAGTCCTTTACAAAAATCATCATGGAGGTGACTTATAAATTTTTTTTTATTATATGGTAGAAGGTTATTTCAGTCTTAATAGTTTGCCGCTTTTTGTCTGTCTGTTTTTTAGTCATATCTGTCTTCTTAATAACTTGGTATCTATTAGGACTGGTGTGCTGTCTTTATACTTGATAGGAAGTATGGCCATGGCCATTAGATGTCCACTACTGATTTTGAGATCATTGGGTTAAAGGTCAAAGTTGCAATGACACCTAAAGAAAATACTTGCCTGCTGAATAACTTTAGAACAAATAAGCCTAGTTAGGAGCATTGCCTATGGCATGTTGATGACCCCTATTGATTACAAGGTCAAAGGTCAAGGTCACAGTGACACTTAATTTAAAATCTTTGTCCACTCAATAACTTGAGAAGGGATAAGCCTTTATGAAATGTGTTAGGGATATTGCATGTAAAATTTAATGACCCTATTGATTTAGAGGTCAAAGGTCATGATAGTAGTGATCACATTGTAAAGTATTTTTTCCGTTTATTGTAGTTATGATACATTTAATATGTTATAATTTCAGATGGTCATTTGGTATTGTACTATATGAGATAGTTACACTAGGAGGATCACCATATCCAGCCATGTCTAATGTAGAACTCCTGCAAGCCCTCAAACATGGTTACAGGATGCCTAAACCTGACAACTGCAGCCAGGAAATGTAAGTTTATTGTACTGGTACCTTTTGATATATATTAATTTTGTACTGGTATACTTATTGACAAAAAGTGTATGTAATATTATAATGGTCAGAGATTATATAAAGTTAGAAAAGGATGCATCATGTCTAATATATAAACAGAAACACTTATTCAATTTCATCTTTTGATTTTTCAAGCAAAAAGAAATTGTCTTATGACTAAAATTTTCTTTTCTCTTTCCTTCTTTTCTTCTTTTTTTTGTAACATTTAGTGACTGTCTTAGAAAAATGAAATATGTTTTATGTAGAACATAAGTGTATACTTTATGAATACAAGTCTATAACTTTAATTAAACTGGTGTACATGTTGTAAAACAATGATATTGTCTAAGTGAAATGTAGAAACAGAAGTCCATGATATGTGAAAGCTACATAGGTCTACTCTTAAAACATTATTCTAAAACATGATAAATGTAAAGTGACTTCTTATGACCATTCATTTTAATAACTCGGATCTTTTGGGTGGTAAGTGATGTACAGTATAATTATAGTACATTACTAATGATACATGTAATTAATAGGTTTAGCTCAATGATGAAAACCACATCTTACTCTCATGTTAATTATGCGTACACAACAGGTTGTTGTGCATGTTAAATATATACTGGCCACCTTAGTTTTGACAGACTGTTTGATCTTTTCCATATTGATGACCGACTTTCTGTTACATGCTCTGACAGTCAAGGGAAAGGGATTAGTCTGTACCTAATCTATAACTAAAGCCACAGACAAGATCCCCACCCCCAAAAACCCAATGTTCAAGTTGACTATTCATGTAAAATATTTTAGAAATGTTAAATGTTTTTGAATGTGAAAATTAAAAAAAAATCACATTCTAAAATTTACTCAGATCATTTACTGTTTCTGATCCAAACCATGTTGCTGTTATTTATTTTGAAAACAATTAAAATAGAGGAAAATAGTATAATGTTTCGTTTTTACCAAAAACGATAACTTTGATCAAAGATATTCGAAATGTAAGAAAAAGATCAGCAATGCAGTTGTTACATAAATTTTCAGTAATAATAAAATAATACAAGCTGGAGCTAAGTTGAAAAATTCAGTAACAATCATGGCAATGAGAATTGTAGAAATTTCTTTATTTGCTTTTAGATTTTTTGTACTATCAATTTTGATTATAGAATAAATTATAGGGCAATGTTCCATTTTGGATTATGACTTTGAAATTCCTGGTACTTGAACTATTATGTTAAATTATTCACGCAAATTTTGAATGATATGTTGTCAGAAAATAATTTGCACCAAGTTAAATAGTTCATAATATTATTATTTCATGCGTAAATATTTGTAAGTCAATCAATATTGTAATAAAAAAAAGCAGAAATCAAAGAAAAATGAGTTAACAGGTGCCAAGTTCTAGTGAACATTGCTGGGATTTTAGTGTAACACAGTAAGATAGGTTATTATCATATGGGCATCTTGATGTTGACTATAACAAACACCTTATGTTAGCAGTGTAATACTGTAAAATACATCTATGATTGTTGGGTAAAAATGTTAATTATTTGACCATGTTGACAAAACTGTTATACATCCTGCAAAGTCTATTACATATTCTGAAAATACCATTAGTTTTATTACAATCCCAGAATGCCCTAGCTTACTTTTCTTGCTATCGAATACTATCAAATATATTTGTAGAATTTTGATCCAATTTACATACAGTGGTTAACATAAATAGTTAATACATATTTACTTCAATAGCAATTAAAAGTATATATCTAAGAGCAAAGTCATCAAATATTTGTATTCTTGGCAAAACAAACTATCATAGTTCATACAACAGTAGATGTACTGAAGTACTGTTGTACTTTTCTTTTTTTGTTAACATTCATGCCTTCATTTTGCTGTTTGTTTTGAAATTAAATGTTTTAAGAGTTATCATCATAATTTCCTAGTTTTGACTTGTTGTAAACTATATCATTCAATGTCATATTAATTGTGTGGCATCGTGACCGAGTTGTATCTCATGGGACTAGTCATCTAAGGATGTTGGTTCAAATCCTCAGGGGCAAGTGGTTGTTTCCTTGAACAAGAAACTTTACACTCATTGCTTAGTACTGGTTGGTTCCAGGAACGAATTCAAGAGTTTTTTTAATAAGCATATAGCTTCCAACACAATCAAATTAAAACAAGTGAGTATAAAGTAAACTAATGTCTTATTAAAAATATAACCATTGATACTTATTGATACCACTTGGGAAAAAAATATCATATTATCATTTCAGGGAAAAGGAAATTTGCAGCTATTGAATAATGGTCTTTTGTAAAAAGGGAAAAATATCTATATAAGAATTATAGGTATTTTATAGTGATGATACAGCAGTGTTTTTGAATGCTTAGTTACCACCATATTGTCATTAAATAGATGACTGATAAGATTATAGAACCTTTAAGAAAGGATTTTAAAAAAAATTCTGTGACTTAAAAAAGAAAACGTCTCACATATTCAGTGTTTTGGCAGTACCTTCTGAGACAAATGAAAATTCAGTTCTTTCATATCATTCTTGTGTTGTCAGAAAAAAAGGTATTTTGAAATTAGTTCAGAATAAAATATCTTTTACATTAGTTAAGAATAAAGTATTTTTAAATAAGCTCATTATAAAGTAATTAGGAATCGGTGTAAGAATAAAGTATTTTAAAAAAACTAATTTTAATTATTATTAAGATAAGTGAAAAACAAGTTTTTGAATAATTGTTTAATATTTTAAAGATATTGACAGCAAATCATACTAGTCTAGAAATAGGATTTTAATAAATATTTTGTAAGGTTTTAGTTATACAGTATAATGTTTGTTAAATGAGTTAACATTGATTATACAGGTGGCAGGTTAATTACAGCATGAATCAAAGCTCATCAAATGTGTTTTGCAGGTGATCTGATATAGAAATAATAGTTTGTGTTTGATGTATAATATACAATACAACAGTGTTGTATCTGCCAAACTTACGCTGACATGTGCCATTACTATTTTAAAATCCTTTAAGGGTGATGGAATACCCAAATAAATATTTAGCAGTTTATTCTTGTGTGTATTGTATGGATGTTTTTTATCATACTTCAGATCTGTTAGCACATGTTCATCAGTTCATGTACAATGCACAAACATCCATGAACATTCATGTACAGTTCATTAAAATTCATGTACAGTTCATGAATATCATCTTGTTCATCATCTTTAAAGAAGTGTTCATGAATAGTGTTCATGAATATCAGGTGTGTTTGCAAAGCATCATAATGATAATATTCTGTCCCACCTAGATATGTTGGGGAAATTTTCATTAATTATTGAATGAAATTGCTGGAACATTTATGTACAGTTCATGAACACTCATTTACCTTTTATGAACATTCATGTCCAGTTCATGAATATCATCTTGTTCATCATCTTTGAAGAGGTGTTCATGAATATGGTTCATGAAAATTAAATGTGTTTGCAAAGCATTAAAGTGCAAAGATCTAATTCTTATAATAATATTCTGTTTCACCAAGATATATTGATATTGAAGAAGTATTTCATTAAATCATTGAATGAAATTGTTGGAACATTCATGTCCAGTTCATGAATTATTCATCTTCTTGTTTATCATCTTTACAGAAGTGTTCATGAATATGGTTCATGAACATTAGTGTTTGCTAAGCATTAAAGTGCAAAGATCTAAGTCTTATAATAATATTCTGTTTCACCAAGATATGTTCAAGAAATATTTCATTAAATCATTGAATGAAATTGCTGGAATATTCATGTCCAGTTCATGAATAATTCATCTCCTTATTTATCATCTTGAATTGTTCATGAATACAGTTCATGAACAATCAGGTACATGTATGTTTGCAAATGCATAAAAGTGCAAATATCTGATTTAATAGTAATATTCTGTCCCACCAAGATATGTTGAAGAATATTTCATTAAATGATTCAATGAAATTGCTGTAAAACTAAGGATAATAACCTATTATGAAAATGGAAAATATATAAAAATCCTCTGATTAAATTCATAATCTTAAAGTACGTCATATCTATCATCAAGCCAAATGTTGTGTACTATAAGGCTGTTCAAATTCTCCCTTCATACTGCCAATATCAAAAGCTATATTCAATAAATGTTGACTTTATCTATCATTTACTGTTGTCCATAGTTAAATCCCAAGCTTTGTATTGTTTACACAAGAATAAACAGTTTATCAAAAATAACTGTAAGCCATTTTTGATGTTCCCCCAGGTGTGATCCTGGCCCATTATTTGCCAAATGTTCAATTTTCGATGTCTATAAAAAACTTGAATGAAATTCTTTGAGCCAGATGATCTTCTAAAATGGTATAAAGGATGGCACAGTGAGGCTTTTGTTGTATACTATAAGCCAATCTTTATAGACCAGATGTTCCATTTGTTATTACTGCTTTTATTATAATTATAATTGGGTTCATCATTTTAAGACGACTTGAAGGGAAGAGTTTTTAAACTGTTGTAGGGTGATAATAGACCTAAGAATACCTGTCACTCAACACTCTATTCTGTACTTTCCTGTGTTAAATAACCACGTAGGTACTCGTGTTTGAAAAGAAGCTGTGTTTATTAAACTCTTAACCCGACGAATTAATGTAATGACTTTCAAGTTTGCCCTCTATAAAAGGGGGATTTCAGGATCAAATTGAGGTACCAGCTGGCTATAGAGTATAGTGGCAAAGGCTAATCATGCTAGGTACCAGCAGGTTAGGGGTAATAACTCTGTTGAATGGTAGTAGCTATAATTACTTCCCTTTGACACATTTATTATGTTTAAAGCCAGGCCAGTATGTACATCCATGAAGGCAGATAAGACTTAAGTTTTAATGGAGTGCTCTGTTTTGGCAATTTGATTGCTTTCCCTTAAATTTACAATGGACCATACCAAATTCAAAGGAGAACAAGTCCATTTTACAAATTTTAGTGATGTAT